TTTTCAGTTTTTGGTTTGGGTTTTTAATTTTTAAACCCGCTGAGTTAGTTTGAACTAATATTACCAACAAACAAATCTCAAATAATCGAACATCTAATTTAAAACTGAAAAGATGATGACAATTTTTTTAAAAAAAAAATTGAAATAGTTTATTTTGTAAATAAACAAAGCAAAAAAATATAAGATGTGTTTTCAGCTTTTGGTTTTGGATTTTAGTTTTTAGATTTGGTTTTTGGTTTTGCTTTACATTTTTTTAATCAGTAAATTATTTAAGAAAAATAAAAGAATAAATTATTTAAAAGTTACCATTGATATTTATCAAAACAAAGTGATTGTTATTTAAAATAAAAAATATATTAACATGTTTTAAAGTACATGATTTAAATAAAATGATTAATAATAGATAATTTTGTTTTTTTTAATATTAAATAACTTTTGAGTCTGAAAATAATAATTGATTTTTTGATCTTTCAAGGTGAAAAGTTTATTCAATGTTTTTGAGTTTTTTTCTTAATACTAAGCCCAAAAACCAAACTATATAATTTATTCAGAAAATAAAAGTAAGCCCAATACTATATTCCATAAATAACCACTGGTTTAATTTAAGTATAATTAGTAGATTCCATATTTTGATGATATATATTCTTCTAGAACATTCCATATTTGTAGGAGAAAATATGTGTTTTCGGTATACACATAGATACCTTCCGTATTTTGAAGGTAATTTACATTAAGGTCGTGTCTTTACATTAATTGTGTTGGTTTAATTTAATTAATACGGTTCAATCAATTATATGATATATATTATTTGTAACATTCTAGAAAGAGTCCAAATTTAAATGACAACTTGTATCAATAGATAAAAAGAATGACTCTATTTTAATAGAGTAGACTAGATTTTGACCCACGCTTGAAAGCACGGAAAATTTTTATGATTAAAAATTTATATAATTGGGTTTTCTCTTAATTTAAAGAATGTTTTGGTATAAAATCAGTTCACCAAAATTTGTGATGATGATTGTTTTTCATTAGTTTTTAGTTTCAGTTTTTATTTTTAGATTTTGGTTTTTGGTTTTTAGTTTTTAAGTTTCTACTTTTTATTTTCAGCTTTTGGTTTGTGTTTTTAATTTTTAGACCCGTTGAATTAGTTTGAACTGATATTACCAACAAACAAGTCCTAAATAATCAAACATCTAATTTTAAACTGAAAAGATGACAAACAAAATTTGCAATAGTTTATTTTGTAAATAAACAAAAGCAAAAAAATATAACTTGTGTTTTCAGCTTTTGGTTTTGATTTTTGTTTTTAGATTTGGTTTTTGGTTTTCTTTTACATTTTTTTAAATCAGTAAATTATTTAAGAAAAATAAAACAAAAAATTATTTAAAATACCCTTGAAATTTATCAAAATAAAGTGATTGTTATTTAAATAAAAATACATTAACATGTTTTAAAGTACATGATTTAAATAAATGAGTAATAATAGATAATTTTGTTTTGTTAAAAATATTAAATAGCTTTTGGGCCAAAAAATAATAATTGATTTTTTTATCTATTAAGGTGGAAAGTTTATTCAATGTTTTTTGGAGTGTTTCTTTAATACTATGCCCAAAAACAAAACTATATAATTTGTTCTAAAAACAAAAGTAAGCCCAAGACTATATCCTATAAATAACAATCGGTTTAATTTAAATAATGCGGTTCAATTAATTATATGTCTTGTGTTACATATTTGTAACACTCTAGAAAGGGTCCAAATTTAAATAACAATTTGTATCAGTAGATTAAAAGAATGTCTATATTTTAATAGAGTAGACTAGATTTTGACCCGCGCTTGAAAGCGCGGAAATTTTTTATGATTGAAAATTTATATAATTGGGTTTTGTCTTAATTTAAAGAATATTTTGGTATAAAATCAATTCACCAAAATTTATGGTTGTTTTTCATTAGTTTTTAGTTTCAGTTTTTATTTTTAGATTTTGTTTTAGATTTTGGTTTTTGGTTTTTAGTTTTAAAATTTCTACTTTTGATTTTCAACTTTTGGTTTGTGTTTTTAATTTTTAGACCCGTTGAGTTAGTTTGAACTAATATTACCAACAAACAAATCCTAAATAATCGAACATCTAATTTAAAACTGAAAAGACGACATAAAAATTTGCAATAGTTTATTTTGTAAATAAACAAAAGCAAAAAAAAATATATAACTTGTGTTTTCATCTTTTGGTTTTTAGATTTGGTTTTTGGTTTTGCTTTACATTTTTTAAAATCAGTAAATTATTTAAGAAAAATAAAACAATAAATTATTTAAAAGTTATCATTGAAATTTATCAAAATAAAGTGATTGTTATTTAAAATAAAAAAATACATTAGCATGTTTTAAAGTACATGTTAAATAAATTATTAATTATAGACAATTTTTTCTGTCAAAAATATTAAATACCTTTTGGGCCTAAAAATAATAATTGATTTTTTGATCTATTAAGGTGGAAAGTTTATTCAATGTTTTTGGAGTTTTTCCTTAATACTAAGCCCAAAAACCAAACTATATAATTTGTTCTAAATACAAAAGTAAACCCAAGACTATATCCCATAAATAATCATCGGTTTAGTTTAAGTAATGCGGTTTAATTAATTATATGGCTTGTGTTACATATTTGTAACACTCTAGAAAGGATCCAAATTTAAATGACAACTTGTATTAGTAGATAAAAAGAATGACTCTATTCTAAACATATACACATAAAGATGATGACTCTAGATTTTGACCCGCGCTTAAAAGCGCGGAAATTTTTTATGATTAAAAATTTAGATAATTAGGGTTTTGTCTTCATTTAAAGAATGTTTTGGTATAAAATCAGTTCACCAAAATTTGTGGTGATGATTGTTTTTCATTAGTTTTTAGTTTAAATTTTAATTTTTAGATTTTGTTTTAGATTTTGATTTTTTTGGGTTTTAATTTTTAAGTTTCTATTTTTGATTTCAGCTTTTGGTTTGAGTTTTAAATTTTTAGACCAGCTGAGTTAGTTTGAACTGATATTACCCAAATTTTTAATGATTAAAAATTTATATAGTTGGGGTTTTGTCTTAATTTAAAAAATATTTTGGTATAAAATCCTTTCTATTATTAATCATTTATTTAAATCATGTACTTTAAAACATGTTAATATATTTTTTTATTTTAAATAACAATCACTTTGTTTTGATAAATTTCAATGGTAACTTTTAAATAATTTATTGTTTTATTTTTCTTAAATAATTTAATGAGTAAAAAAATATAAAGCAAAACCAAAAACAAAATCTAAAAACTAAAATCCAAAACTATTTTATTTATTTGTTGGTAATGACTCTAGATTTTGACCCGCGCTTGAAAGCGTAGAAATTTTTTATGATAAAAAATTTATATAATTGGGTTTTGTCTTAATTTAAAGAATGTTTTGGTATAAAATCAATTCACCAAAATTTGTGATGATGGTTTTTTTTCATTAGTTTTTAGTTTCAGTTTTTATTTTTAGATTTTGTTTTAGATTTTGGTTTTTGGTTTTTAGTTTTTAAGTTTCTACTTTTGATTTTCAGCTTTTGGTTTGTGTTTTTAATTTATAGACCCGTTGAGTTAGTTTGAACTGATATTACCAACAAACAAATTCTAAATAATCGAACATCTAATTTAAAACTGAAAAGACGACAAAAAAATTTGCAATAGTTTATTTTGTAAATAAACAAAAGCAAAAAAAAATATAACTTGTGTTTGCATCTTTTGGTTTTTAGATTTAGTTTTTGGTTTTGCTTTACATTTTTTGAAAATCAGTTAATTATTTAAGTAAAATAAAAAAATAAATTATTTAAAAGTTACCATTGAAATTTATCAAAATAAAGTGATTGTTATTTAAAATAAAAAAATATATTAACATGTTTTAAAGTACATGATTTAAATAAATGATTAATAATAGACAATTTTGTTTTGTTAAAAATATTAAATATCTTTTGGACCTAAAAATAATAATTGATTTTTAGATCTGTTAAGGTGGAATGTTTATTCAATGCTTTTGGAGTTTTTCCTTAATACTAAACCCAAAAACCAAACTATATAATTTGTTCTAAAAACAAAAGTAATCCCAAGACTATATGCCATAAATAATCAATAGTTTAATTTAAGTAATACGGTTTAATTAATTATATGTCTTGTGTTACATATTTGTAACACTCTAGAAATAATCTAAATTTAAATGATAACTTATATTAGATAAAAAGAATGACTCTATTTTAATATAGTAGATGTCCAAAAAAGAGACCGTGCGTTTGAATATTCTCTGCGGAGGTCTTTTGATAAGCCACGTAACTAAGGAATAAGGATAAGGAACCAGCCATGATCAAGTTTAGAGACACAGTCAGAGAGCCAGCCGGAGTCAACGAACATTATCGTCTTGGAGAAGACACAATCATCAATATTTGTGGAGTAATGGAATTTTAAAAAACGAGACTATTGGCTATTGCAAAGCTTTGATCGGGCGAACCCACATTTACTCAGGCTTTACTCGTATTGCAAAATGTTACACGCGAGTTACAACTTTTGTGCTATTATGTTTCTTCTTACATGTGAATTTTCTGTGTTGGTCTATTGTAGAATACTTTGACTGTATTGTTCAGTTGTATATAGTGATGTCAACTTTGCATTAGGATTTACAGAGTCCCAATTCCGGGACATATGTCATATTTGGTGTGAGGGATCGATGATCTGAGCTCTCAGCTACAAACTCAAGCTGCATAACACGACATTGACCTTGTAATGACCCAAGCAGGTGGAGATGTTGTTTAAGCCATTGTAGAACTCACAACATAAGAGTTGCAGAACTATTTCTCCTTTTGCCTTTGTTTCAATGTTTCTATTCGTGCTACATATTAGCTAACAATTTTCTTGGAACACTAATGATTTCTTCCTTACTATAAGGTCATTCTCTTTCCGTACTATGCTAAAATCAAAGACCAACGTGACTCAATTAATTGCAAATTTGTAAGAAAAAAGCACTATATTACAAAGAGCGTGATGACTTTGTTAAGAGAAAAGTTACAAATCGTTTGTTTATACATCTAATAATCCAATATCAGACCACATAACAAAAAAAAATTAAATTCTTCAGCAATTGAAAGGCTTCACGACCAAACAGTACCCAGAATCTGGCAAAAAAAAGACAAGTTTTGATCAGTAAGGATTTATGCTAGTAAAGTTCTGAGATTATAGCCAAACTCATTCTCTTTAGTTATGTAGCATGACACTAATTAAATTAAAAAAAAAAAAGAGCACCAACTTCATCCTTCTGCACGTTTAGTCACAACACATGTCAGCCCTGTTCTCTGAAATTTTACATGCCAACCTGCAAAATCGGGAGAAAATGATCTAAAGGAGAGCCCCTTGTGCAAGCCTTGCCAATCTGACATGTAAACTTCAATCTCAATAAAATGTCAAATGATGAGAAATATGGATGAATTTATGTCACCTTTCTAATATCCTCAAGAACCAGGATTTGAAAGAGAAGTCTCGTATACCATCAAACACCTGTCTGCTTCAGCCTTCAGCCATAAGCTTTTATAGAACAGTGCATGCTGATTAATCTGCTCCTCGCCTTGATGATTCTGTTGGTAACCACTTTTAGCCACAACCTGCATGTTAAATCAAAACCAAAGATCTACCTCTTGATAATCAAACACTAAATCACACATCTAAAGTATGCAGAGAAAGAAGCCATACCTGACCAAAGCCTTTATCTTTCGTAACACCACATTGATACAAACCAGAATCTGGAAACGTCTCCTCTGAGGCCATAGAGTATTTTTCCTTCCTTCTAACATCAAAGTCGACGGTCATATTGCTTGTCCTTGGAAGCTGAAGATCTCTAATCGATAGCTAATGGAGAAGATTTGGAAGCATGGTGACAAAATATTATTAATGTAAAAATCTACATTTCTTATGTTTTACACGAATTTTGCCAAAATATTAACAAAGAAACAGGTGGGACAACATACCTTACTCTTGTTAGATAAAAGCCGTAGATCATATGAATTGTGTTGTACAACGCTTTGATTCACGGCCTGTTCCTGAATGCCATTTTGGATGTACATGTTGAGATTCTGTACAGTACTGTTAATGAGATCAAGCTCTTCCAGTGAATCTGAAGATTCTGAACCATGTGCAAGTGTTAGTAACTCTGACAGTCCATGAATCGTTGTAAGTAGTTTCATCACATCCATCTTTGGTGATGAGCCAGATAAGGCTTTTGCATTGCTTGAAGATGAACTCGCTGCAGTTTCCACCACGTGAAATGGAAGAGGATGCTGAAAATCTTGATTACCGTTCACTGTAAGTGTAGTGTTTGGCTCCACCGCATACGACTTAGAAGACCCAAAGTTAGTGTCCGCTGTTGGAGATATAAGTGAAGAGTTTCCACGTGACATGTTGGGAAGTAACGGTTTCACATAGATTGAGGACTGTGCTAAGTCTGCTTCGGCAACATTATGCTTCGTAAAACCAGTAGGATTTACCACTAGCGAGAAATCATCTGCGGCTTGGTATTTCTCATACCTATATTCATTCGGTTTACTATCAGCAAGAGAGAACTGAGGAGCCAAAGGATTCAGTTTCCTCTGACCATGAGACTTGTTGCTGGAGCTTCCTAGTTTTGCAGACTCCGTAATCCCAACTTTGGATTCAAGCCAAGGATTGTATGAACCTGATATATGAATACGACCAGCCTCTCCAAAAGGTGTATCTACCTTGACCTTCCCTGGCGACTTATTATCTGAATAAGTGAGAGCAGAAGTTGAATGTGCATTTGTCTCCAAAGCTACTTGCGTTTCATGAACAGAAGGACTTAGTTTTGCATTTGAGGGAACAAACACAGGGGCCAAAGGATCCAACCTTTTAGATTGTTGGAACCCTTTTCTAGAATCGATATCTTGAGATACAAAACCCAAACTTTCATCAGCATTGTGGGTCAAGATGCTTGCTGCATCGTCTATTCCATCTTCAAGAAGATTGGTAAAGTTGAATTCTCCTGACGATGATGGAAAATCCGAAGAGAGAGACTTCTTCAAAGAGGAAGAACCGTTCTCTTCACAACTTTTCCCATCCATTTCTAGAATCTTGTTAGAATTGGATGGTATAAACTGTGGCGCCAATGGATTCAATCTACGAAACCCACTAAGATCGTCAGTAGAACGCCTGCAAATGGCACCTGAGGCGAGAGTCTTGCGAGAGTTTATTCCTATCCAGCAAGGAGTATCTTCCTCAGAATCTGTAGAAGAATTTTCAGACAAGACAGTTGTGTTGACACATGCCATTTTCAACTTGCCATCACCAGCTACAGTGGAGGACACAATCAGCACCTCAGGCAATTTCGAGACAAGTGGATTAGGGTTTAGCAAGACTGTCTTATCCTGTAGAAGCTGTCTCTCTGCAAGTGTAAGAAAAGAACACACAAAGGTAGCTTCTTTACAGAAAACTCTCTATACCCAATAATCCGCTAATCCAAAAAATTAACGCAAGGTCACAAACAAGATCCTAACAAGACAGAGTTTTGAGTTACCTATGGTTGTGTCCACATCGCGAGACAAATTAGATAGAGAATCATCGGAGGACAAGAAGGAGAGGTCTAAAGTATAATCACGAAAGAGAGAATCTTCATGTTCAGATGTGGAAGTTAAAGGAGATGAATCGATGGAGGGAGGCGAAAGAGAGTTTCGTAAACCATCAATTCCAAGACTACACTGCTTCATCTTCTTTCTCTCGGAGAACGGAAGCAATGAATCTTATTAAAGAAGGGAAGGGATTTTCGAGAAAAGAAGGTTTCTCACCTTCCCCTATTCCTTGCGAATAGACGAGGCTTTTTCCTCAGGTCAGAGTCGATTAAAAAATAAATGACAAACAAAACACGTCGTTACTGACTCGTCCAATTTCGGATGACGACGAAATTTTCACGATTTTCTTTTTCAAAGACAAGAGAAGAAACGGAGAGCGCAAACTTAAGTCTGGAAATGCGCTCGCGAACTCTTTCATCACTAATGTCTAGCCAACGCTGTGTCAAAAAGCTGTAACGCTCGTCAGCTGTGACACCTATTAATAATGAGAAGTCAATGCCTGTGATCAAGATTATGAAGCTTATTGATAAATGTAGGAGATGGGTTATACCCCTCCACAAGGTCCATCAAATGAGGGAAACTTAGCCCAGTCTGACAATACACTCGGCCCACCGGATGACACCAAAACGACTCGGTATGAGACGCGTTTAGTAGCGCGACTAAATGTGTTCTAGAAGAGTCGGCGGAAGTACGATTTACCCGAAATACTAAACGGGCCTAGCGGTAATAAGGCCCAACAAGGCTAGGGTAAGTTAGGGCGAACACGAAGATTGGATCTATAAAAGGAGAGAGGCAGCAAAGGGAAAAGGGGATCCGGAATGAGACATACTCACTTGGCGGCTAGATCTAGGGTTTCTTAGTGATTAGGTGGTTAGAACTAGGGTTTACTCACCCACTCGTTTAGTCACCTCCCTGTTTAGTCACCTTCCCGTTTACTCACCATCCTGTACTTCCGGCTAGTCCGTCGATTTACTCTCCTCTTTGTAACCCCTTGTTCAGATCTAATAAAAACGTCTTTGTTCGCCCTCACCTCTCTCTTTATATTGTTTCAAACCATTTTCACCTCAAACAATTTGGCGCCCACCGTGGGGCTCTGAACAAAGTAACGTTATCAGATCTAGACATGCCAGACGACGGAACCGTCTCTGGAACAGCGGGGGAGGAGCCGACTCCGACTCCCGAACCCGAAACACCTCTTCCGGCAGACTTCATGAGCTCCGTCATGGCGCGCTTCGCCAGACAAGACGAGATCCAAAAGGAAACTCAAGCTCAACTTGCCGCACTCGTAGCAGCATTAACAGCAGCTCCCGCCGGGCAGACGAGTAACTCTCAACCGTTCCGACGTCATCTCTTCCACACTAACCCGACAGCGCCGGTAGCCGACCATGCCTCCGAAGAATCGGAACCCACTGAGCCGCATACCGCAGAAGCGACTCAAGTCGGCCCAGATCTCACCACTGTCCGTGAAATCGCCGAGCTCAAACTGAACCTCCAACAGATGAGTTCCACGATTCACAAGGTTACTAGCGCCGCTCCACAGATCGAGAGTGTTCTCGCCTCAACTGAGCGTACTCCATTCACCAGTACGCTGACTAGCGTAAACTTCCGCAAGATCGAGAAGTTACGCGTCCCACAGTACAAACCCGGAGGCGACCCTGTGGAGCATATGACTGCTTTCAACATCGCGATGGCTCGAGCGCGACTACCCGACGACGAAAGAGACGCCGCGTACTGTCAGCTGTTCGTAGAAACACTCCACGACCAAGCCTTGACCTGGTTCTCAGGTCTCAAGGAGAACTCCATCAGCAGCTTCAGAGAGCTTTCGTCGGCTTTCCTCAAGACCT